TTAAAACTTTAGCTGCAGAAACTAAATGGTTTGTGTTTCTTTGTAATTGAGCTCAGTTTTTACTAAAAATCGTACCTGTAATGGTTGCTTTAGTTAAATCTATAATGAACTTATAAGAATTTAAGATTATAAGAATAAATTTAAAACTACTTTTCTTTAATTATTTCTAACAAATTAGATGCCCGCCATCTAACGAGCTGAAATACTCGAATTACTAAAATTTGTTACAAACAGCTTGTTTATTTCAGTCGCCGACGGAAATTATAAAAGTCGATAAGGCTGAGAATCTCTTTTCCTGCCCCCTGTTTTGTTGGGATACTCGAATTTCTGCCCTAGGGTCAGCCTGGAAGTAGGCAATCGCCAAATGATTTTTAGATACTTTCCGGGCAACAACTTTAAAAGAAAACCAACAAATTCAGCCCGGAAGAAGGAACAACTTGCTCAGTTTAGGATGGAAAACTGCCAAAAATTTGTATATATTACCAGTTTAATATTTCAACTATTTTTCAGTGTTAATAATTTAGTATAGTTCAAACGCCCTCAAAGCCTCAATAATGAATGCGCAAAGTTGGCTGAAAATGGTCAGAACTAAAGTGAACGAGTCCCCTCGATAGTGGTTTGTTCGATTTTTTGAAAAATGTTCTGCAAATTTTAGCAATTCCAACTTGTCTGAAACTGAACGGAAAATCGCTTGTCAATTGATGGACAAAAACCCGACACTAACAGTGGAGCAAACTATGGTAAAATAGATTCCAACAATGTACTCCAATATAAGTTAGTAGGGATTCTATAGAAACAATACTTAAAACCTTAGGTGGAATTTAGGTTGGCATTTCCAGAGAAAAAAGTTATTCAAATGTTTGTCAGATATTCTTTATTTAATGGCTTTGGCAACTGCTTGTCCATTAAAGCCATATAAAATAATAAAACAAACCATAAACATGTTTTGCGAAAAATCAAATTTTTTCTTAGAACACAAGACACAGTGCCGCCAGCTTTGGAAGCTGCCAGGCCAACTCAAAAATTGGAATAGGTCGACGGGGGGTGCCCTTCTCTGGGCCAGGATGCGTTCACTGGATGCCGCGGCGCCTTCTGATTTTTCCAGAGTGACGCCCCTACCCAGCTAAAACCTCCGCCCCCTCCCACAGAAAAAACAAAAAAAAAAGCCAATATCGCGAGGCTGACGGCGCTTGGTGATTCTGATGGTGATGCTGATGGTGACAACCACTGACATGCCCCACACACTGCCACAGGACATCTGAGAGGAGGCGCTGGGCGATGGAGCGGTTCGGCGAATGTGGGCTGATGTGGGGGGGAGGCAATAGCGAGGGCAATGACGGGGGCAAGGTAAAAGCCAAATGCAAATTCCGGCAGTGTGTCGCCTCTTGGTATTGGTTTTGTTTCGTTTATACGCTCAGTGTATCGATTTAACTGCCCGCGCGGCTTCCCGTCGAGCGACCTCCTCCGGCGGATCCTCTGGTCGTCCTGGCGCTGTGGTTTGTTTTGGGTTTCATTTTCCAGTTCTCCCTTATTTTTTTTGTATTTTTATGTTCAGCCCGCAGCTCGTTGTAGTTGTCAGCATCAGCAGAACATTCACGTACCCTTTCTTGTTGTCGTTGTCGTTGTTGGCGTTGTTGTTATATCTGTTGTGCAGGAAATTGTTGTATGCAAACATTAAATTTTCAATAGGTCAATTTTGGTTCAGCGCCTATAGCAAAAATATTTTTGCAAAACATATTCAATATTTTCCTTTTTCACTTTTTCGTTAGTCATTTTCCAGTTTATCGCTTTGCTGTTTTTTTGGTTCTCTTCCGTTTTCGACCTTAAATTGAGGTTATCAAACAGATTTTCGCACTTTCGGCCATTCGAATAAATTGATTCGGGCAAAACCAGAAAGGAAATCAAATCAAAAAATACTTGTGAAAATATCAAAATAATTGCCTGTGACTTTGATGGACATTTATGTACCTGGCCATACGTGAGTCTGGTGTGTGTACAAAAAGAATGTGTGTGTGTGTTGATTTGCGGTTGGTTTTCCTTTGGGATTTGCGTAAATAGTTTTCGGCTTATGGCAGAGAAAAACTGCAGGCCAAAAGTCATTATTTCAGAATGATTTATTCGAGTGCTAAATGAAGTTTATTCAGCTTTAAGATATTTCCTCTTTGCTTTATTTCCAGGATGAGCCAGTTCAAACACTGATGTGCTAGACTATTATCAATTGAATTTAATAAAAACACATATTTAATCGGTTCAAATAGCATATTAATAAGAAATTTCCTCTCGTCGCTCACCACATGTGTGCTTTTCGCAAAATTCTCAATTAAGGGTGAATATATGATTTCCGAATATAAATAGCCTATGGCATTAATTAAATGTTTACATTTTATTGATTCCAGGATTCTGGATTATAAGCTTCATAGATACATTAAATTCAATTAAATCACGCCCGAAAGAGAACTTTTATTTGAATTTTCAACAACAATTTACTTATCAATTCAAACTTTCATCGAATCCGTTCAAGATTTCAACAAGCTACTCTAATTCCCACGAACAAGCGAGAAGTAAATTATAATCTGCGTAAAACAATTTAAGCAGTCTGACAAAAATGTCAAGCCCAGACAGCCGGCAGCATCTGTTGGGCGCAAACGGAACTTCTGGCGCAAATTAGATCGTTGTCCAAATTCGATTGTTTCATTTGGAGAGGAAATTCTCGCCTGCTTCCTGCGTCCTGTCCTGTTCCGCCGCCTCTGCACTATCCTGCGAGTGCATTGGGTGTCCGAGAAAAGTTTTGCGCACAGTTCTAATTAGCGCACTAAAGATATTCAACACTCAACGTAATTAAATGGAATTTTAAGCGATGCATCGCCAGTTGCTGGCTGCCAGTTGGTCCAAAGCTCCTTTAATTACTGGCAGGAGGCTCCTACAGATAGTGGAAACAAACAGCTCAGTGGCTGTGCCAGTGGATAGAGAAACTTTTTTTGGGGGGGTGGCGGTTGCAAAAACTTGGCCGCACAAATTAATCATAACTTTGGAGGCATCCACTGCAGTAGTAGTTGTAGTCGTAGCAATGAGGCAGCAGCAGCATTGCCTTCATCTTGGACAAAATGTTGCCATCTCCGCCCATTAAATGTGGGTTAGGTTGCCGCACCGACACACACTTGCCCAGATATGCACTCCGAGTTGAGTCAAGTTTCCCCTCCAGCATTGCATTTGCATGCTGCAATTTTCTGTGCGTCGGCGTTGCCGGCTGTCCAATAAATTTCAGCTGTGTCGTGGCATTTATCAAAATGGCAAAAACTTTGCGAACGGCTGCAGCTGCGCAGTGGCACGAGCAGACAAGAGACAAGTCCCTGCCTCTGGCATCGTCCTGCCAAGTTTTCCTGTTTGTTTTCTCCCAAATTGGCTGCCAGAAAGTTTCACGGCTTCAGATCTGAGAGCGTGCCGTACACTCTAGCACCCTTCGCGTCTGCAGGCTCATACCGCAGCAGGATATACTCACGACTAGCTCACGTGCTCATCAATGGTGGCTGCTCCTCAAAGTCCTCCAAAGCCTGCTGCTGAATGTTGATAAGCAATTGGAATCGGGGAGACAACGACCGAGGCGACTGTAGTTGCATCAAAATCAAAGCAACTCTGAAGAGGCGGCAACTTTTCTGGCAGGCGGCTGACAGGCATTCTCCAAGGAGCAGGGCTTCAGGGGCGGCGTCGGCACTGTTGGGTGGACACACCTTTCAGCTTTGTCTAAGTTGTTGGCTTAGTTTAGAATCTGGGACAAAGGAAAAGCGAAAATGTATTCGACTCGTCATGGAATTATGTGGTTCTGGTGGACATTGCTTTTAAAGTTTGAATCTTCGAATGGATATGAACAAGTTTTTGTTTCGGTTGGTTTATATAAATCATAAAATACTTGTTATACCCATGATTAAAACCATGCTTATTTTAAGCGGACCGGGAAACTTTAATACTTATTGAAATCTTTCGGTTAAAAATTTAGAAATTTGGCAATGTTGAAATAAGTTGAACAAAATTTTAAATCGAAATATTTTTATTTTGTTTTTACCTTCAAAGCAATCTTTAAAGGTATTCCTTTATTTTCTCATTCTTATTAAAATCCGACGATTATTGGTAAAGATATAGCCATCGCTGGGGCCCATATTGACCTTCCCAGGCATTTTGCCATTTTCGATGGGGATCCCCTGGAAAATTGGACAAAAAATCGAAAAATAATTTCGTTCCAGGATTTTGATGCAGATTGGTGGAGAATCGATCTACAAATCGTTTAAGATATTCCTGTCAAGAATCGGATGAATATTGGCAAAGATATAGCCATCGCTGTGGCCCATATTGACCTCCCCAGGCATTTTGCCATTTTTGAAGGGGATCCCCTAGAAATTTTGACAAAAAATCTAAAAATAATTTCGTTCCAGGATTTTGATGCAGATTGGTGGAGAATCGATCTAAAAATCGTTTAAGATATTCCTCTCAAGAATCGGATGGTTATTGGCAAAGATGTAGCCATCGCTGGGGCCCATATTGACCTCCCCAGTCATTTTGTCATTTTTGAAGGGGATCCCCTGGAAATTTTGACAAAAAATTTAAAAATAATTTCGTTCCAGGATTTTGATGCGAGGCCTCCATGGGACACCACTTGAGAAAAAACGGGCCCACATGCTTAAAGTTTGCCCGCTTAAGATCTTCGAATTTTGAACAGAAGTTTTCCATTAAATATCCCAAGGAAAAAGCTCTTTTTCCCTGGGTAGAAAGCTTAAATGCGCCATCTTGATTTGAAGTTAGTTTAGTCGCCGCAATATGGCGCATGCTGTTGGCAGTTCTATAGCCTGCAGCTTTTGACAGCGTATTACCAACTGACGAAAGCTTCATGCAACTTTGGAAGTCCAAATTCTTTTCAAATTTTCTTTAGACTGTTGATTAATTTAACAAGGATACCCAATAATTTAAAACTTTAAGAATAAAATACAATTTTTAAAATATAAAACTATTGTTTCATTGAATGCATTTTATTTTTAAAGATTTCCTTTTGTTGGTCAGCTTGAAAGAAGCAACTCGTCTACATAAATACAGCATTTTTAAATAAATAATATAAATAGCTAATGTCTAGGTGGAAGTACATAAATTAATTTAAATTAGTTTAAAGAGAAAGTGTCCAGTCGTGGGTGTCAGGAGGGTCTAGACCTCGTTGCACTCCAGATACATCTGGCGACAGTCGAAGCCCGATCGTCCCCGGCGTCCAGCATCGTAGAGATCCTCAAAGCTGCTGCCGCTGGTGCGTCCGAGCACATAGCTGGTGGCATAACTGTCACAAAAATAATTAAATATTTAGGATGATAATCCATAGGATTAAGCTCAAGTTCACTTACGATCCCAGTTGGCAGAAGATGCTGCTGCCGCCGATCTCGCGGACGCACTCCGTGTTGGCGTCGCACATGTACTTCTGGGTGCAGCGGTCCTCCGAGTTGCGGTAGGTGCGGACGTAGCCCTTCATCAGGGAGATGCTGGCCACGACGGCGTCGCTGACGGAGTCGCGCTTGCCCAGGGAGCGGGCGGTCAGGGAGCGGTGGGAGAAGGAGGTCTTCAGAGCGTCCAGCAGGTTCATCACGATCTGTATGAACTGTGGATGCGGAAGGGGGAGCGTTGTTCAGTGGAAAGTGTGTGTGTGTAGAGGAGTGTGTGTGTGCGAGGTAGAGGAAGCATTAGTCAATTAGTTGCCATTGCTTGTGCCAATTCTAAAGGTGTATGTCCGTGTGTGTATCTTTGTGTTCGGTGTAAGTGTGTTTGTCTAATTACATAAGCACTGGACAGCAAGATGTGGATCATTTCTGAGATTAGTATTATTACGAGATTGTTTAAATTAAATTATTATAAAGCTTTCGATCTAGTACCACATCTTGCTGCCTGGTCCTGCTTCGTGTCTTTGTAGTATTTTGTTTAATGTTGTGAAAGCAATAAAGATGTTTTACCTCGCCAGCTTGCTTGGCCATCGAGTTGACTTGATCGGGGTCTCTGGTGCCTAAAACGGCAGACATCACAGCCACCAATATGCCCTGTGCGATTATTAGCGAGGTAGAGGTAGAGGAGGTAGGCGGGAAACAAACATAATCAAGAGAATAAGAAGAGCCAGGCACCAGAATCAGTAATCAGTAATCGGTATTCAGTATTCGGTAATCGGTATCAGAGTATCAGTATCAAAGTATCAGTACGAGTATAGGATATAAGACATAAGATATAGACATAAAACAAAACGAAAACGGTAACAATCAAACAGCGAATTACGATAAAGCGAAACAAAACAAAAGTGGCACAAAAGCAATCAGTGAGTGTACACCATGTTATGGGCTAATGGATCGATCGATTACCTGCATGGGAGATCCGCCGTTGTCGACCTTATCGATGCCATCGCTCGGAGCTCCGCCGCCCAGCAAGGTGTTGATGATGCGAAGACCTGTGGAGATGCGAATTACGGGGTTTGATTATGGGAAGTGAACTTTCTGATTAGAATCTGCACAACAGTTCTTATTTTAAACAAAAACTCACCCATAGAGATGACATTAGCCCAGGGGCTACCGCCCAGACCGATGGAGTTGTCAACGTCGTCGGACTTGGTGGGTGCATTAACGGCGTTATTGAAGAACATGGTCATCACGGTAGACAGCATGTTGGACCAAGTAAAGCCACCGGGTCCGCCAACGCTCTCCTGGATCTGATTGGTCTCCAGATCATCCTCGATGTCGTCCAAAGCCACCTTCTTCGAGGCATTTGGCTTGACGGCGAACTTCCTGGCGCTGCTCTCGTCCCGGAAGACAGGTGACTGGGTCACCTGGTGCTGTCGCTGATAGACCTCCTGCTGGGGGAAGGCAAAGGTCATCAGAAGGCAGTTGCTCGCCACGATGGAGAGCAGCAGGCAGGCGTGTACTTTCCGTTGATTCCACATGACTTCTGCAAAACGAAGACAAAGATGGTTAAGTCGGTTGAGCTGTTTGAAATTCAACAAGGGCCAACTATTCGGACATTGCCTTCCGCATAACAACACTTTCACATTGCCCAACTGTGTGCGACTGGGGCTCCTGAACTGCGACACAGGTGGGGAATTGAAATCAGCTTGACCCATTTGTGGGGCACACGCTGAGCCCATTATACCAATATTTGTAACGCTTTTACAACTCGTGAATATTTGAGACTATTTAGAGTCATTACGTATATATATTTTGGTAATAGTTTTATGAAAATATTATTGTAAGAAAACCAGAATTCAAGTAACTAAATACAGATTTCCCACTATTCTTATATTAGATACAACATTCTTCTAACTTTCTTTATTAATAATAAACTCTTTTGGCTGGAATTTCCCAAAATACAATTGTCAAATTTTTCCCATTGGCCGTGCTTTAGATATGTTACAATTTCCATGAAAACCAGATAAGAAAGTTGCGGCGTGTAATTAAATGCGAGGCGCTGTCGCTTCCGAAACATCCAGAAACTAGTCTAACTGCTCCCAATTAAGGTGTCGGTCAGCGATAACCTGTTCCTGGGTGAAGAGGAGCACTTGCAGCAGGGAAATTAACCGAGTGGCAGGTTGGGAAACACACACATGTTGTATGTGTGTTATTGTTAGAAAGCCGCCGCCGCAGGTGAGGTGGCAAGTACGGCAATTAGCCGCTAACTTCCTCCCGGCGATCATTGGGGCATTGCTGGATTTGCGATATTAGCATCGCCAACCATCTCCAATTGGGCAAATTAGAATGGGAATGTGAATGCTCTATGTGAGGCTCTTCATATGTATTTTATCTCTTTTTTATGTTCCACAATATCGTTCTGCCCCAGAACCAGTTCCGTGGTTAGCGGTTCTTTCGCTCAGATGTCATGCAACAGGTTCCCGTTACAATTAATAAAGCCAACGAGTCGAGCGGCGATCGTGGAATGCCAATGGCTGAGATTGCATCGATCCCCACATATAATTGCCGGCTCCAGAACAGGCTTTCCAGAATGGGTCAACGCATTGATGTGTAAATCGTGGGGTCATTAATCATCACCGCGATCCCCCTCTCACGGTTATGCCAATGGGGCTTTGATTGTTTTGTGACACAATTCGACCCAGTTCCCCGGGGAAATTACGGCTGGCATGTAAATTTAGAAAGCGCCATGTTAAGCGTGATCCAGCTATTAGTGGTTAAGATAATGGTAACTAATAGCCGGAATGTGTGGCAGAGAAATTTTATTGATTTCTCGCCAATAAAGTGGGAATATAGCCTGCGATGCAAGACATCTTCTATAATGCCCAAGACCAAAATGACATAATTCCCTTGGCATGCTAGTTAATGAGCCTCGTTGTGTTCTCCATTGAGGCGCCATTGAGGAGATCACCGTTTATGTTTTAATGAAAACACGCAATTCAAGTTGAAAACTCTGCACGCAACTCTTACTTTCATGGCAATTAAGTAGAAAAATCTCCGACCAAACAACGGGCAATATAACTATTTCAATAAAGAGAGCAGCAATTACACTTGCCGTTGGTCAAAAGTCGCAAATTAGAAAGTGTAGAAACCGCACAGCCTCGAAAGAGAAACAAAATAAAAATTTTACCGTCGCGAGGGCGGGGGTGTAATAATAACCGAGTTCTTTGGCAGTAAACGAGAAATATCATTTCAGTAATTTATGCGATGGTCCCTCATGATATTTATTTTCGGTTTCGTTTGCGGTCTCGTGCCGCAGCACGCTCCACTGGTTCTCCCTGGTCAAAGTCAAAGATGGGAAAGCGGTAAAACGTTCGTGATTTGCGGTAAGTGAGCAGCAGGCCTGCCTGGGCTGGTGCTGGGGCTGATGCTTCGCCACTTCTCCATTCTTCGTTTTGGGTTTCTGGGAGCGGAATATTTTCGAGGGCGTGATTCAGAGCTTTAGCCGGGTTTCTGGACAGTCACGGACTGGTTTCCGGGCTCAAGCAGAGAGAAACTTACGTTTCACTTTCTTTTTGGCCAGAATCGAGCCAAGGTTTATTGACTCAACTTGAACTCCAGAAAAATTGAATAAAAATTTAATTAAGAGGAGTGTTTAGATAAGTGCTTAACCTTAATTGAAATGCACGGCTGCTTTCTAGCTAGCTGGCGAGTTCGTGTCTTAAGTCTTTCGTTTGGGTATGTGGTCAGCAACCCCTGCAGAAAAACCGCTGGCTAACTGTCACTTGGCCAAAGCCGCCATCGAATGAGCTGCATTTTAATGTCTCTGTGGAGTGTGGATAGCTTTATCGATTATTTGGTAACCACATGGCCTGTGATGCAATCTGAGGGCTGTGATCCACTGAGTGTTTTGACAAAGATAGGCCTACCGAACTACCGAAAACTTTTACTGACCCCGAAATGCAGTCGCCAGAAGACAAGCCATAGAAAGCAGAACAAATTGCACTTGCAATTGCCAGAGCCATTATTGTTATTAGGCAGCCTGCTGGCCGAATTGCAACTGTCACTGCAGCCGAGGAAAGCCAAGATTCGCTTTGGTTTGGTTAATCTACAAGTGCCTGCTGGTTGTTTTGTGAAAATGATTTACATTCTCTCGGCTGCAATCGAGAAAAACAAATTCAGAGCAACTGGGCCCAAACATAAAATGTATTAAACACGACTTAACAGCTTCAGTGGAAAACTTTCACCTCGCTTACACTGGCGGCAACAGCGTCAACCGCAAAATGCCAAAAGCAACCAATGAATGAAAGTTACAAAAAACTACTTGCTTCGAGGCGGGCAAAAGACTGGAACTCAACTAGGTAAACAAATGGCTGGCAATCGTGACCTTTGGGCAGGCAATCAAATAAATAAACTCGCTCCGGGAATTTGGCCAAAAGACCTGGCCAAAAAGGCAGGCGTTAATTGGCCGAGCGAACGAGATTCCGAGACGCAGGAAGAGAAAGAGACCCACTTTGAATCAAGGCCACCGACAAAACAGCCGCAAGGCCTCCGACAGCCAGGAGGTGGCCGTGGGGGGGTGTCAAAGCGTGAGCCCACTTGAAAACGAAATTCTTTGGCGCCCATTTGGGTCAGTGGGCGGCCATCATCGCTGCACATTCGGCCTGAAAAGAACTTGGTTCAATGCACAGCTCCATGTGTGCGTGCCTGTCGTCCCGCCACACCTTACACCTCATCGCACCTTGTCGGCCACGCCTCCCCACCACCCTGCCCCGCTCCAGGTGCTTTGACATGTTCCACTCTTCACGTCCAGTCGATGGGTTTCTGTTTGCTTTTTCATGCAAAGTTGTTAACTCGTTTAACAGAAATTCTCCTCTCTTCGGTTGCTTGCTTTGCTGCTGCTGTTATTCTGTTGTTTTTATTGCTGGATTTATGCCTCGAGTTCTGTTATTTCTTTTGGCCTGACCCAAATATTTGGCTGTTGCCATATAGCCCCAATTTGATGGACAAACAAACGTGAGACTGGGGGGCCAAATAGTGGCATTCGATCAATTGTCAATAACTTTCTAATGCCCGATTCTAGCTGAACGCATTGCCTCAAGTTAGTATGGCGGATTAGTTTCAATATTTAGAATTGTGTTACTATTTACAGTTTAAAGGCTAGTTGGATAATACCGAAGATATCTTGGACTTAATCTTTATCTATAGATAAATGTCATGATTACGAAACCTTCGTTTAGTCACCAATAAACCCTTAGTCATCTTCAACTTTTACTTTAAATGGGTGACTAAATCTACCTTTTTAATAAAACTGTATCGGATGTGCAATGGTCTGCCCAGTCTATCCTATAATCCTATATCAAAGCTATTTAATGTCCCTAGTTGGACATTTTCAATTCAGCAATTTCTCTCACCTGTCTATTTATCCGCAGTCTTTCAGTTCGGTGAGTTCGAAGCAATTAAGCTGAAGTTTAATTACACCCTCAGCTCTGGTAGTTTGGCTCGTCGCACTAGAAAAAATTGCAAATTTCAGCACGCGATTGTCAAGCGCACAAATCACTTAAAAATTCACCCAAAAATTGCACCGGAAAATTGCTCTCTCTTTTTTTGATGGTCGATCGATGGCAACTTTCGTTTACTTGGATCGGAATTCGAGAGACTTCGGATTTCACTTGGTAGCTGGTTTCTTAGCAGATATTTTGATGTTGCTGCGACTGCTGCTGAAGTTGTCTGAAACGGCGATCGCCTTGAACTTGTGCTTATATAGCCTGACCCATTTCTTGGACTTCGCGACGGGCCCCGAAGCGACCCGAAGAACTGCAATCGCAGCGGCTTCGGGCCTCAGCTAGATAACAAGAAATAATATTCAACAGGTCATATTTAATATTTATAAAAAAAATTGCAGTACAATTGCTCCTAGGTAAAGGATGTTTCAGTGAAGAGCGAAGTTCCAGGGATTTCCAGAAAAAACTTTAGTTTGAATATATTTAACAAAATGCCAATTAACCACAAAACTTGTTTACTAACAGGAAACATCCAGTTTGATTGGTTAAATTATAAGTGTATATGATTCCTTTAATTTCTAAATTTTCATGTTTCCTAATTTTAGAACTTTTATGGCATTACACTTTATAAACCCAATCCAAAAATGTCATGAACATTATTTTAAATATCCCAATGTCCTTTTGGAAATTGGTAAAAAAAAAACGAGGTAACAAGAGATAAATAATTGAACCTTGAAGGGTTCTTAAAGAATCATTCCAAGAATCTTGTCCATTTAATTTTTGAAAAGTATATATAGTATTATATTTGGGAGTGTTTCAATTAAAGCTATTTATAATTCCTATAGTTGAACATTTTGTTTTTGTTATATTTATATGCCTGTTTTTTTTTCATATTTTTTTTTTGTTTTTAAATATTTGTTTTTAAAATATAATATTTTGATTTAAAAACTCCAAGTTAGCTTCTCTGATAGAGCAACCAACAAGCCGCGTTCGATCGTGAGGTGCGACGTCAAACAAGTTGCATGCTGTTAGTGCGCAGGTGCGCCATCGCAGATCCATCTTACCTGATCTTCAAGCTTGCTTTATTTACCATTACTGTTAATGCGTTTATGGCCCATTGTTGTCTGGCCTGGCGAAGAGGGTGTAAACGCCGGGTGTTGATCTACCTGGTTGATCTTTCTTTCGTCAAGGTTTTTCATCTCATTAGCATGCGGCCAGACGTCCGATATTTTCCCTTGTTGTGGGTGCAGCGAAAATGTCCCCAACGGACCTTGACTAGAACAGTTCATCAGTAAAGAATGTTTTTTTTTTGTAATCCAACTACAATGTAATTCATTATTCTTAAATTGATGCTGAAACTTCCCCTTGCAATTTAAAAGTTCTGTCTCGCCTGCAAAGGTGGCTGTGAAAACATTTTAAGGGATTGCCAAGAAACAAAAGAGGTCTCGGGTTTTTTTTGAATTTAACTAAAAGTAGGGCTCTTGCCCCCATCACCTCCTGCTGGCCAACTACACGTGCAAAAAAGTTAAGCCGTTGAGGGAAAAGTTTGCCTAGGATGTCTGCCAGACATCCAGTCGGCCAATGCGCCTGCCCATCGTGGCCCACTCTATCCGCATCAGATTCGAGGGCATTAGAACCCTTGCGAAATCAAATCGGAAAAATAGAAATGGTACGGAGTACGGACAACGAAGGTTGCCATCTTCGACTGCATTTGTATGTGTTTACATTTAGTTGTATTCGATTTGCATACTGGATTGGGGCAGGGATTGGGATTGCGAATGGCAACGGGTTTGGCCTGGAGTGGGGATTGGGAGTGCGATTGGGATTCGGATTGGGATTGGGTGGTGGTGTCTTGGGCCAGTCCACCCGTAAATCAATGCCAACTGTGCGGGCAATCAGCAAGTGGATCCGGCGAACGTGGGACCGCCTTTAACCCATCCAAGTGGATTATTAAGTGGTCTTAAAGCTGAGTCAAGTGATTCTCTAACTGCCCGTATGTGGACCACTACGGACCACTACGGGGGAGTGCTTATTGAATAAATGCTGTGGGATTTATGCAAATCCTCAGCTGCCAAAAGCAACCAAAGAGCGACTGACGATGCACTCGGCATTAGCATGCCATATGGATGGAGGAGATGGCCAGTTAAGCATATGCTTAATGCGGCCATAATTGTTCCACATTTGTTATCGACGGACCAACTGACTTTGCATATCGCGTCATTTCAGCTGTATCCCGGAATCAGTAGGATTACTGATTTCCCCTTCTAATTTATGTGCACAGCTCGTTTTTGTTTGCCATTTCCAATATTTGTGTTTACATTTGGCATTCCAATCCACTTCGCTCCAGTCCACACCACTCCCCCAAAATCACCACACCGCCCCCCAATCGCATTAGCCTAATGATTTCCCTGTCATCTGAAAGGATGGTGGGTGGTCCGCCGCAGACTAAACATGAAGCATAAATCAGCTTATCAAATCGGCATTCAGTAGTTCGGTTTATAATTTGTACTGCACACACAATATTTGGCATAAATGATGAATTGTTTGCGGAATATTGAACTGGTCATACCGAAAATTCCGTTGTGCCGGTATTCGCGCTGTGGAATTATCAGATAATTCCCGATGGAGCCATATCCTGCCTTTCAAAACTTTATACAGCCTACGCATATATTAAAATCTAAAGGTAATCTGTTGTAAGCTATTCTTTGTTAACCTTTTTGTTTCACAAAATACCATGTAATGTTTTAACAATAAGCAGCTCTTTAAAGTTTCATTTTATTGTTATTGAATTGATTACAAAGTCAATTTTGCAAATAATAACGTATTTATATATTTTTTTATAATATATTTTATAATATTTACAATATTTATGTTAAGAAAGAATCATATGATTTATATAATCGTTTGTTTCAATTATGATTATTTTTTTTTATTTTCAAAGAAAGAAATACAAGAATATAAAATATAAAAAAGTGGAAAGTTTTCCCACATTTATTTCCGTCCAAATATTCTTTTTAAATTCTGTTTAAAGAAATCGAAACTCGACAACAATTAGGAGACAATTTGATTCAATTAGCAAGTTCTTTGGCCCAAAAATTCTGTCTTCGAATTAGCAAGCCAACCCAAACCCAAAGTGAAGTGAGGAAAAAACGTTGACCCACATTCGAGTGGCGGTGGTGCGATGTAGACAAATTGAAATCAAGGCATTAACAAAAAATGCGAGAATCAACCGACAGCAGAGGAAAAAAGTTGAGCGCCAACATCTAAATTGCGTGGAAAAGAAAGTCGGAGATTTTGTGGCATACTTTGCGGCTGCTGGAAATTTATGCGAAGACCTTGTCGGGACTTTCTCCGATCATGATGTGTGTGCGGGTCTACTAATATGAAATCGATAAATTGTAAGCATTTTTTTTATTGCCATCTTGGCCCAGGAAGAAGTTACAACGCTTCTGTTTGTCTGTTTTATTTTTTGCCTTTTTGCATAAAGGATAAAGACGCCAAAGACGATGACGATGCTGTCCTAACTGGGCCTGGAATGGCTTTTTCGTAAGAAGGAATCAGGAGAGCGGGACTGCCACGCTCTGCGAGTTTATCAGCGCAACAACCACTCCAGAAATAATGATGTCTGCCATCAGAGTCGGGTAACAACAGCAAGGAACTGAACAGAACAGTGTGGGCAAAGGCCAAGACAATATTGTCATGTCTCATATTAAATAAACGTCCTCCACCCGACTGGCTTACATACATATATTGCAGAAGTTGTATTTCTTAAACAATAAAGCAGAAGCCCGGTTGCAAGTGACTCAGTTGCCAGGAAATGCTTTTAGTCATGGTAACGAAAATTGAGAACGAGGAGTAAGTTTATGGAATAGCTAGTAAAGAGATTATTTATTTTTTAGAACAGAAACGAAGTCTTATTCTTGCCATAGAACTTCCAGAATTCCTGGACCATTTAAATGCTTAATGAGTAAAATTCAAGACTGTGCTTCACCCACACAATAGCTGCCTAAATGGGCGCACATTTTGGCATATGTCACCACGAATGCCATGGAATTAGAGCCGACCACATATTCACATCAGGTCACATGCAGGTCAACTAGGTTGGCCGGGGCCCATGGTTTGTCATTTTGGCCAGTAATGGACTTATGCTAATTAGTGAGTAACACCACGCGCAGAATACTGCATTTCAATCAATATACCGAGGTCGGCCAGGAATTTGCATATGTGACTTGGAATTTATATGACGAACTGATACAGGAAAGGGAGGAGCTCTCAAAGGCGTTAATTTCACAAATTTGACAAGACAATATAGCCAAAGGGCTTTATTAAACTACGAAGACCTTTATTGTTCTCAAATTCAGTTTAGGGTCCAGGTTAAGTCTCAATCATAATCAGGTTGAAGGAAACTTGGCCTTTGCCGTCGCAAAGCAGTTTTTTATTGCCATCCATCAAATGGGATTTAAGCATTAAAAATACATGTTGGCAACATTCTTCGGCCATATAAAAGTGAAAATCAAACATCTGGTTCACTTTTTTACGAAGGAACTTTCGCTGTCCGCGGGTTCATAATGCAAGTTTAATCTTTAAAAAATATATATGAATAAATGTGTATTTTTATATAATTTAGTTTGCATGTAAGCCCAGTGGCCTCCAGATGGGAAAAGGCAAAATTGCTGGTGGGGCCTGGGGACTGCTCCTCCGCGGCAGCTGTTGACGAATGCCCCGGCCCAAGGGTATAGGGTTACGGGTCCTTCCGATCCTCCACCGCTACCAATCCGGGTATCCAGCTATCCGGCTCCAGTTCTCGGCTCCAGCCCTGCACTTCGCGCATCGGGCACCGGCAAAGATAAAGTACATTTCTGTGATAAATATAACAACAAGTACCCCAGGCACGCACAAATGGGGCTCAGGGCCCATCAGGGCTCGGGTGAAAACGCATCCAAAATTTCCTGCCCTGCTTTTTAGGGGAGGGGGCGATGGCAGGCAGGGGCTCTATACTGGCAGCTGCTATAATGATGCCAACGATACATCATCGCAAAATGCTAACATTTTCGGCAGTCAACAGCTGTTGCCGCTGATGAATCCTTTGGGTCCGGCCAGCCAGCCAACCAGCCAGCCAGCCAACCAAGGGTATTCTTTGCCGCTGTCGCAGGTCCTCCCTTTGGCCCGTCTCCTCTATAATATTTCAATATTTTGCACATA